ACCCCGCGCCCCCCCCGACCGCCACGGCGCATACAGGTATAGTAAGCGGCGACTTTTGTGTGCATGGAGAAATGTTAACCCGGAAAACGCAGAGGATGGCAGGAACGGCCGCCTGCGAACCCCCTGGCGCTTGCCGCTGTGGCCGAGAGCGACTAGCCAGTGATGTTTGGCCGCCGACGCCGCATCTTCAATTGAGTCAAGCAGCTGAGGCGAGACTGAAGACGGCAAACTTTTTTTTTCTTTTCCGTCGTCCCAAGTTTGCGACGTTGCGATTCGGGTCTGCAGTATTGCACAACAGCACGAGTTTTTCAGTCAACGATAGACTCCCTATTGCATTGGGAATACTCTCTTTTGGCCCTTTTTTTTTTTTTTTTTTTGCTCTCTGTACTCCGTACCTTTCTCGTAACGAGCTCGGGGTCCGCACTGCGCCGCCCCAGTTTCTGGAAACAACGAATTGTGGACGTGACCCGTGTCCTCCCGAATCCGCACCAGCCAGGCTATCAAGGCACCACAGGCAACCACTGCACCCCCTTGGCCGACGATTAAACGAAACGGGTGCCCGCTGATCTTTTAGTTTCGCAAAGCACGCGCGCCTTATTGTGTTTTGTCTCGTGCAACCTCGTTATCTGGTGACTCGGCGAGGCTCGATCAAATCGAGTGTTTGGTGTCCAACTGGACCTCTGTGCCCTCTTGCTGCCTCTGTCCCTTTTCGTTGTCCTTTTTTTTTTTTTTTTTTTGGGCCCGTCCTCCTCCAACCCCCCAACGACGACGGTCTGCGATATATCCTCGGCCGAAGCGGGTGCTTTTTTTGTTTGGCTTGCGATTCTCGAATATATACAACCAACATACATTTTTTTTTAATACTTCGCCATGGCGAGTCCTTCCACTCTAGTGAAGGAGGTAGTCAAGGAGACCCTCAAGGGCAGCGGTGCTCCTGAAGATCCTTCCCACCAGTTGTCGGCGCAGAGCAAGGCGCGCTTCAATGCCCATGCCGCCAAGGACCCCGAGACCGGCGAACTGTACATGGGGCCCGAGGAGTTCACCAACGCCATTGCGCCAGTGACGGAGGACTATGTGAGTCTCGAAGAAGCTTGTCTCTACGCCATTGACCCGGGTTTTACTGACACGAAGCTTTGGTACAGCACAAAATCAAAAGAGACCAGTATTCAATTCTCTTCCGCGTCGCAGACAACAAGGGCCGTGGACGTCTGAGTCTGGCGGACTGGGGCGTTTTTGAGAACCTCCTCATGAAGCCCGATGCCGAGTACGAAATCGCATTCCGCCTGTTTGACGTTGACCGCACCGGCGACGTCAAGTACGACGACTTCCGCAGACTCTACGAGCTCAACAAGGGCCCGGACAACATTCCCTTCGACTGGGACTGTGAGTGGGCGAAGCTGTACATTGGCAGCAAGAAGAAGCGCCATAACCTGAGCTACCCTCAGTTTTCACAAATGTTGCGCGGTCTGCAGGGCGAGCGCATCCGACAAGCTTTCCAGCTGCTGGATAAGGACGGCGACGGTTACATTGAGCCCGAGGAGTTTGCGCGCATCATTCTCGAGACCTCCAAGCACAAGCTTTCCGACCACATTCTCGCCAATCTGCACACCCTTTGCAACATTACCACGGGCAGCAAGATTTCCTACGCCAGCGTCCGTGCGTTCCAGAACATGATCAAGGAGATGGATCTAGTCGAGCTCATTGTGCGACGGGCCATCTCCAGGAGCTCAGACGGCAAGATTACCCGTGCCGAGTTTGTCAACGAGGCGTCCAGGGTTACACGGTTCTCTCTCTTTACGCCCATGGAGGCCGATATCCTCTTCCACTTTGCCAGTCTTGACGAGCCCTCGGGTCGTCTGGGCTTGAGAGACTTTGCCAAGGTTCTCGACCCCTCGTGGAGAAATCCCATGTACGATGTTGATGAGCCGTCCGTTCCTGTGACCAAAAAGGCCTCCATCTTCCATGGCATTCTGGAGTCGACCTACAACTTTGCGCTGGGTAGTGTGGCTGGTGCTTTCGGCGCCTTCATGGTGTACCCGATTGACTTGGTCAAGACTCGTCTTCAGAACCAGCGTGGCGCACAGCCTGGCCAGCGGCTATACAAGAACTCGATTGACTGCTTCCAAAAGGTGTTCCGCAATGAGGGCATCCGCGGCTTGTACTCGGGTGTTTTGCCTCAGCTTGTCGGTGTTGCTCCCGAGAAGGCTATCAAGCTGACTGTCAACGATCTGGTGCGAGGTTATTTCACAGACAAGCAGGGCCGTATTCCCGTGAGTGCTGAGATTTTAGCTGGTGCTAGTGCTGGTGGATGTCAAGTTGTAAGTTTTCTTTATACATCTCTTGAACTGCAAAGTGGCTCCGGCAAAAAAAAAAAGGCTAATTTTGCCCTAGGTTTTCACCAATCCCCTCGAGATTGTCAAGATTCGACTGCAAGTACAGGGTGAGGTTGCCAAGTCTGTTGAAGGCACACCCAAGCGATCGGCCATGTGGATTGTGCGTAACTTGGGTCTGGTTGGCCTGTATAAGGGAGCATCAGCATGTTTGCTGCGCGACGTTCCCTTTTCAGCCATTTACTTCCCTACGTACAGCCACTTGAAGAGGGACTTCTTTGGCGAGACACCCGCCAACAAGCTGGGTGTCTTGCAGCTTCTGACTGCGGGTGCCATTGCCGGCATGCCGGCCGCCTACCTCACCACGCCATGCGACGTCATCAAGACGCGTCTGCAGGTGGAAGCCCGTAAGGGTGAGGCGTCCTACACGGGTCTTCGACACGCCGCCAAGACCATCTGGAAGGAGGAGGGCTTCACTGCCTTCTTCAAAGGTGGTCCCGCTCGAATCTTCCGATCATCTCCTCAGTTCGGCTTCACCCTCGCCGCCTACGAAGTCCTGCAGACGCTGCTGCCCATGCCCGGCGGCAAGAAGGAGGAGAAGTTGGCTGGCGTGGGCGACGTCATGTCTGCCGTGACCAAGAGCCGAACCCTCGACACGTCGCCGTTTGCCCGCAGCCGGAACGCCCTCAAGATTATCCTGGATCTGGACGAGGACTTTGGCCGGTCCAAGATTCCCGACGCGAATCGCTGGAAGTCGTTGCCCAAGGTGATGGGTGGCGGCGGCGCAGCTCAGTAAAAGACAAAAATGATGAAAAAGGAAAAAAAAAAAAAAAGCATAGCTGTTCACCTGAGCGTCAGCACTTGGCAGACTTTGAAAACCTCGCTGGAGTTTGTGTTTGCAGATTTCTACTCTGGCAGACTCGAAACGGGTGTCAACTTCCCCACGGGGAAACATTTGATCGGCATTGCATCAGCCGAGGCGTTTGGGCGGAGCACTGGCATCGTGGCGCATCCTGCGTTTGATTTTTACCCCAGCTTTAAAGCACAATTATTGTTTTTTCGTGTATTTCTTTCTTTGCAGTTTATTTTTTCTCTTTTTGGTATCTCCTATGTCGACTGATACGACGGACAGGCGGAGCGAGAAATCAGGGACTTGGGCTGGCCGCGCACTGGATAGATGAAGCTGGCGTGGATTCTTTCTAGATGTCGGCCGGTTTGCATAGGGTTAGATAAAAAGAGGGAAGAGGGCGGGGAGCCCGAGCTCTTTGCTAGACGATACAGGATAGACTAGATATGTTCATTCCTTCCCCTGTGTCTGGCTTGGTGATTTGTGTGTGACGGACGGTTGTGTATTGCTGGGACGAGGTTGAGGGTACTTATTAACAGGCGTGGCCAAGGGTCAAAGGTACGGCTGTATTCCGCAATAACGTCGAGCGACCTGCTGAGAAATTGAGCACCCTTGTATTCGTCGACTCGCCGTCTTTTTTTTTTAGCCAGATGCAAGAATTTGCAAGGCCAGTGATGATGAGTTGGGAGCTGCACGTATATGGCCGTCGAGACAAAAACGTAGGCCGGACGTCTCATGCCATTGTGGCCGGCACACGGTGTGTCCCTCCGAGACAGTTCTGACGTGGTGTTGCGAGACGAGCAAGATGCAGCCACACGCTCGGCCGGATTGTGTCGGAATCTCATGACCGCAAGGATAAACAGAATGCTTCGAAGAGCATTCCTCATGTGACTGCCGTAGCAACGCAGCCCAGTCCTCAAAACATGATCCATGAAGCTTCCTCTTAAAAGACGCCATTGACTCGTCAGGCACTGCTCACCCCCCGACGCACTCGGGCCCCGGATCAAGATGCTTTTTTGTGCGTTTTAGGGCCTCGCCAGTAAATCGGTGACGATTGTAGATGTCCCCCCCCAAAAAAAGGCAACCACCCTTTACCTTCCACCGACGGCACAATGGGGGCTCTTTGTACGTCCCCGTTTCGCCCGCGTCCACGCGCCTCACGCAGCGTCCCATTCACGGAAATCGCTGCTGCTGTTCTGCCACGGCGCCTTCAAACATAAATACTCGGGTGCCTCGACGCCTGCTGCGCTACTGAATGCAACCATGCGTCTGCTCCAGCTGCTCCCGCATTCCAAGCCGCTGGATTACATTATCGGGACGTCCCTGGTCGGCACGGGGATGCTCGTGCTTGTCTGTCTTGTGATATACCTCTTGTACGCGGGCTCAGTTTTGAAACCCAACTGAGCCTGGGGCTCTGTCTCTTGCGTATTTTTGGCCGACGCCGCGATATTTCAAAAAGGTACGCATGGCCCATTCTCGCCTTGTGTGAAACCCGCCGTACAAAGGGGGGTCCGTTTGTCCACTCGTCTTTTTCTCGTGGTTTATATAGCCGTGTGGCTGACCGCAAGTGAATTAGTCTTTCTGCCGTCTTCATTCACAGGCCCGGACAGCTCGACGACGATGGACGGCGCCGTGGTAAACGAGGGTGGGAAAGCGGCCGACGACCAGGCCCCCAGGAGGTGCTCGCGGAACCCTTGCACATGGTCGACGAGAGCTCAAGCCTGCGCGTGCGGTGTATTCATTGTGGCATTTATTGCCTTCCTGTTCGTGGGGATGCCGGCTCTCCAGAGAAAAATCCAGCGAGACCGCGAGGCAGCCTGACGGCAGTGTACGCGGCGGCCTCGTCGGTTCGTGTAGCTGGTTCTACGTCGACGCGCGCACTGCTCTGCCTGCGAGTCAAACGGGCCGGACTCCTTTCATATACTCTGCCCACCGGCCTACATGTCCCCGTCGGCAACAATGGCGCTGCTTCCACGATGCTGGGGGCATCGCTGCCGCCCGTTGTCCTCCCTCCGTCTGTCGTGTGCAACTTGCCAGCTTTGACGGTTTGCAAATGTGCCCATGGGTAGTATCTACCCCCTACACCCTGCTTTCTGTCTGTCCGCCTCTGTTGTTGTCAATTTCAAATCGCTTTTTCTCACGGCTTCCAACAGAGTCTTGGAACCTCGTATGCGTGTGCCCAGCGTTGAATCCTGACACCACGTCTTGCCGAGATGGAGGAACAAAGAGACGGTCATTTGCATATTCGGCCTCGGCAGTTCACACGGGCTACTATTCTTGCCGTCGTCCGGGCTTGCTTTCTCGGCTGGCCGCGGGATAACGTCCCGTTTGCCCCCGTCAAACACGCCTCTCCATCTTGTCTTGACGTGGCTGTCAAAACTCCATCTTTTCCCAAACAAAGTCGTCTTGTTCAATGATTTGTGTTTTGAAATGTCCTTGCTAACGGGTTGATTTACAGTATCATGTTTTCTTTCACGTTTCGTCCCGATGCTCGCGCCGCTGCACCGCCGCAGACACAGACCGTGTCGGCTCACGGCTGGGGGAACCATGTAGCTTCCTGGTCGGAGAAGGCTAGTTTTTTCGTCGCCGTCGTCATTGGAGTCGGGGTGCATCGGTGCTTGACTTGCCGTGCGAGTAGGGAGTTGGCTGCCCGCTTGCAACGTCGTTTCGTTGCATGATCGCCGGCTTTGTCTCGCGTTTGTGCCTGGGGCCTTTTATTTTTGTCGTTTTTCAATTCCCTTTGTGTTGCACGATGCCTGCATTATGCTTGTATTATCATTTGCATTGAGAAAATAACTTGATGTTCCCTTTGCGTGTTGGTGGCATCTAGACGCAGCTTACGTGGTAGCCGACCCAGGGGGAAGGCTACCTATTGACATGCCGGTAATCTCGGGCCCCTGGAACAAAAGATGTTGAGCAAAAGTATAATTCGTTTCTCGTCATTTCATCATCGGTCCTAGCATGTGTCTAACCTTCCCAACCTTCCCAACCCCCCCTTGTCTCCCCGGCGCCCTCTGTCCGCCGCGTCAAACCTGTTCTAACAGGACTACTTGGATAAGATGTCTTGTGTTTGTTTTCCTACCGCTGTGCCTTTTATGCAAGACACCCGCCTCTTCTCGTGCTCCCGGCATATTAGACGCATACGTGACCGTCACCCATCTGCGTACTCGGCAACGTGCCCCTTGTCCGCCTCCATCATCCCCGTCAGCCAGTCCACGTACGCCTCGAAGCCAGTCGTGCTCCCCCGGATTCGCCCTCCCGACACCCCTCACGCCCTCGAGCACGCGCAGGTTCTCGCGGCCCGCGCCGAGAAACACGGCCTGCGACACATCGACAACCACCTCGTCCATGTGGGAGAGGGCCCTGGCCGCCTCCTCCCTGGTGAACAGCACGTCGCAGTCTAAACGGATGAGGAGACGGAACCGGCGGATCCTTGAGACGGCCGCCTGCTCCTTGACGGGGGGGTAGTTCTCCCGCAGGCGAGGAAAGGACGTCAGGAGAGACGGATGCGCGAGGAAGGTGTTTTTGGTGTAGAGGAGGGGCCAGGCCTCGGCGTGGATCTGGCGAGAGGCGCGGAGCACGGCCGCGTGGATGCGCACCGGGCGAATGCTGTGCCTGGAGTACGGCGGCAAGAGGAGGAGGAGCGCGTATATCTGGAGACGCAGCTCGAGGGGCAGCTTGAGGAAGTGGCATTGCGGTGTCGTGTCGCTGGCCATGGCGGCTTGGGGTTGCTTGGCTGTCGCGGGGAGAAGACGAACATTTTCTGCTCGCCGTCGTGGGCGTGTTTATGCCGCTTGCTGCTCTTTATTGCGTGTGTGAGGCCGGGTTGATCGGATGTTTTGAGAAGATGTCATGAGATGGAATCCTTGCGGCTTTCCCCTTCTGGAAGTCTTATCGGCGAACAAGGATGCCGCGGTACGCATCGACCTTGGGGGACATTGTACTCATGCCACATGTGTCTTTGTGTACATGGATCAGCATTGAATTTGGGAGGCGTTAAAGCTGGCGGAGGGCTGTTTCTCGGGGTGCTGCCATTTGAAGCGGTACGCCTTGCTGGCGCGCGGTGGAAGAGATGATGGATGACTTGTACAAATTTGGAGGATACGTGGTTCGTAGAATACAGGTGCCGTGATGACGACCAAGTCGACTTGAAACACGTGGGCCGTCTTGTGCGTGTACATACAATCCAACCACTGTAAGTTTAGCCAGTAGTGACTTTCCAGTGGAACTCACAGGGGCTTAAAGCCCAATAGAACGCTGTGTAGTGGGTCTAACAGTACATAGAATATAGTGGGTTTTACACGTCAAATTAAGTACCTAAAAGTAAGTATAGTATTATTTTATTAATGTCAAGTTTACTTGAAAATGAAATTATAAGAATTCAAATAAATAATGTAAAAATATTATATTAAAAAACTGAAGATATTTAATATTAATAATACTTTTACTTTTATTATTTTTTTTTTAGAGTTTATTTATATAATTCAATAAATGTAAAAAATAAGTGTTAGTACACGACTTTACTGATAACCCAACCTTGTAATGTCACACCTGGCTAAACATTTAGGGGTTAGTTATATTGTACGTCGTGTGTTAGAAACGGGCTGAGCAAGAAACACCAAGAGCAACATCACAGGGCCCGTGTTTTCAATCACAAACCGGGCCTCACTGCCTCGAAACAGCCTCAATCACATTTCACAAACCGCCAAAAGCACCCTCCATCTCGGCAATCACATCGTGCCGCGGCCGGCCGACCAGCGCATCTACACACACCTCGCTTCTCTTTCCTTGGAAGCTGGGAAATGTTTTAAAAAGTCGCGTCATAGCGTCGCGATGCCACCAGAGTTATTTCCTCACCTGTAGAAAACAGACGCATAGACTCCGTCATGATGCTATGATATTGGGCACCGTCATTTCACGCCTGGCGCTAAAATCACCGTCGTGAAAAGCAGACAAAACGCAAGGGGGAATACATGCCGTGTCGCAATCTACAAAAAAACACACCAGTGCAACTCCCCCCCAGAATGACATCGTGGCTTTACGGGGATTCATGCTCCCTCGCAATGTCTCAGACGACGTTGTATTTTCTTGCTGACTCACTGTTTTTCACATACTAGCGCCTTCGTCGCTGAGCAATGACTATGTTTATTTAATGCTTGCGGAGACGGTACGGAGTAATTGGGAACCGTTGGTGATGGGGCGGCAGATGATGTTTGCCATCCGACAAGGAAACATGAGATGGGTGGTTTTGGCATATCCAGCCATATCGACAGCACCTTTATCCCTGATTGTCCATTTGTGGAGATCCGTGCAAGAGGAGATAAGAAGGAAGACATGCCTGCATCATCTAGTGCCTCCATTTGATGTGAGGGAGGCTACGGAGTACTCCGTAGATCAACACGATTTAATAATCCGGCACTCACGACGACGTGCGCTCGAGCACTGCTAGTGGCCGACTTGGGCTACCCTTGCCTGTCCGTCCATTGTCGTCGTTGAGACATTTCCATATAACTGAGTATCACTCCCTAGAAATACCAGAGGCTTTGTTGTCGATCTCTCCCAGAAGAGTTACCATGAGCTAGCATCTCTGTCGCAATGTCTAGCATCCAATTTGGCTGAAAATGGCACCATAGAGCATATGCAGGCCCCTATTATCGCATTATAAAAACATGTTGATCGTGCTGCTGCAACAAGCGGAGTGTATCCTCCAAGTTTATTGTGATTTTTTCGGCAAGCCATTCATTCACCTTATTCACCTTGTCATCTTCCATACATTCGTTTATACACTTACTCGCCACGATTTAGAAATGCACTCCTCAGTCTGCCTTGTTCTCCTTACCTGCCTCTACGGCACCTCGTTTGCTGCGCCCATCAACGCCGGTAGCTTGACTGACGGCGTTGAACATCTTCCTAGCACCAACCCGGCACTTCCCATCGTTGTAGATCCTGAACAAGGTGGTCTTCCCGATGGTGTAAAGAGGGCTGCCACCAGAAGCTTGTTTGATGGCGTTGCCGAGGGCGTTACCAAGGGTCTCCCCATTCCAGGCGGTGTTGGCGGACTCGCTGATGCCGGCAGCCTTACCAAGGCGGTCCCCGGGTTCGGCAAGAGAGATGCCACCGATGACGTTACTGGCAGTGTAACCAGTCTCACCAAGGGCCTCACCGGTGCTGTCGAGGGCACTGACATTGCCGGTGTTGCCGGACAGAGGAGGGATGGCACCGTTGGCTCTCACAACGACATCACAGACAATGTCCCCATTATCGGACAGAACCTTGATCCCACTGACATCGCCGAGAGTCTTGGACACCTAGGAGATGTTACGGGAGTTGGTGCTGATTCTGTTGTCGGCAAACAAAAGCGAGACACCACCAGCGGCTTGACTGGCGCTCTTCCCGTGGGATCTGCCGGCGGCATTGCCAAGCCCGTCACTGATATTGTCGGAGCCCTTAACGGACTTGATGGTATCGCCCGGTAAAGTACTGGGATTCCCAACAACGACAGCGTCCTCAAAAAGACCACCTCAGCCGTCGATAGCACTCCGTTCATCCTGTTGCCGACGCCATCAAGATACTATCGGCGAATAGATTCATGACGGGTGAATGATATTTGTGGAACTAGGCAAGCCGGTTGGCGTCGGTGCAATGTTGCGGCTGCGTATATTAGCTGGTTGGGATGCTCACTCGATTTGGATTGGCCCATAACTTTGTATGTTTACATTTGGAGCATAACGGCGGAATAGTATTAATAAGGTTGGATACAGCCAGTCCCCCAATATTATGGCGATACGTGGTGACCGTCATACTGGAATTCGAATGGGAGGCCTTTCGATCTGTACAAGTGACGGTGATGCAATGATTTTGCATCGTATGGAGTACAAGGACAGGGCCAATGGGCTTGTTTGGAGAGCCAGGCATCTCTTTGTCCTGCAAGGCATGAGCATGATGAAATGTGAAGCCCGTAGCTGATTCCGTGTATCTTGACTCTCTGGTCCTGCGCCTGGGAATAACAGCACACGACTCTTATACCCAGCGTCATTCATTGTCTTGGCTGGCTGCAATGATCAAAGGCTCTACCATAAGCATGAGCATTTGGTCTCCTCTGACTCGAGCGCAATAGTACTCGCGAGTGTGATCCAATGGCTGACGCCAGTCCCGTCCACTTGACGAGAGCCAGCCACCAGGCGTCCAATGAGATATCATGGAGCTTGCGTGCTCATGCGCCCGTCTAGCAATCCGACAATCCCGACTCAGCAGAGTCAGAGAGTGTGACAGCAGTTTCCCCAAGCCGATGCCCTCGTGGATCAAGCATTCGTGTTGAAGGTTGGCAGCGAAATCACACAAAGGTTATCGCGGCTGCCGAATCGTCTAGCTTCCAAATCAGAGACATCTTTGGTCCCATTTATCCCATTTCTGAGCGATTATCAAGTTGAATAATGTGAAATCACAGCCATATATATGGAAACAAGAGATCTGACGGAGTAGTTCGTGACCAATAGTGGCTGATAGAAGAGCAGCAAAAGGCTGGCTGAGCTGATTTGTAGAGGAGATGGACACTTCAGATGTTGACCCTTATCTAGAACGACGTTAGAAGACGTTACATTGTCAAAATCTGGGGCATCTATGGTTTCTGTCATGCCCAGAGGACCAAAAAAGATGCATTTGAGAAACTAGCCATAACTCTGGCCCCGAAGGAATGTCTATTACCTCGGTCTAACCCCCATAAGCCAAACTATTGTAATCAAAACCACTTCGGCATAGCTCCCTTCTTTGGCATTGGAACTTCTTGAAGCTTCTCATGAACAAGGACGTCAGTACCACAAAAGGCCAGTTCGGTGAGAGAGAAGGCCAACCAAAGTCGCATTCGCAGCCTCATCGCCCCGATGAAGGCTGGCAAGTATGCCGGCAATTTTCGTAAGCCATGTCAACTGGCCGTCTTCGACGAAGATGGTGACTTCGAGGGCGGTGATACAACGCCTATCGAGACACCGGTCGCTTTGCCAGCCGGGCGAATTGGGTCTCATGCGTGCTCATAGAAACGCTGGCCTGCAGCTTTACCGGGTCATGGCGGTCACAAATGAGCGTACCGAGAAAAATAGTCAGCGTTGCAGAGGGTTGTCACAATTGCGGAGGTGGGGAAGAGTAGCCTTTCCGGTTTGTGGCTTCAGGCGATCACCTGCAGCTGTGACATGGGGGGTCATGGGTTCGAAAGGCCTCCTGGCCTGTCGTCCCCCTTTCAGGAAAGCAGGACCCACAAAGGCGTCATTGCCGTGTTGCGCATTAAGTGCAGAAGTGTCGTGATTTCCATGGAATTTAACATGTCCTGCTTCGAGTCATGGCCGTCACCGTCGTCTACTTTCTGTTCCGCCAACGTCACTCTCTCTAGGTCTAGAAAATGGCCTCTGGGATGTGATTTCTATCACACGACTGCATCGACGCCGTGATTTCTTCGAATTTTGCCAGAAAATCACCCGCCACAATCCAAGTCATGAGCCTTCTCACCTTCCTTTCTGCCCTGTTTGGTTGGATCTACACCTTTTGCTGGAGCGCCTCGTTTTATCCCCAACTTGTATTGAATCTTCGTCGCAAGAGCACATCCGGAACCACTGTAGATTTCCCCTTCATCAATGTCCTAGGTATGGTCCGCCGCAATGTCTCATACCCCCAGAGTCGTTGGCGCCAGCCAGCTCCAACGTGAGCAGATAGACTGACATGTTCCAGGCTTCGTTGCGTATTTCGTCTCCAATGTCGCCTTCTACTACTCCCCCGTCATTCGAAGACAGTACGCCGCTCGACACAACAATCTCACTCCCACTGTCCAGTTCAACGACATCACTTTTGCGCTCCACGCCTCCGTCATATCTGCCATCACTCTTTCGCAATACCTCCTCCGCACGCTCTGGGGCTTCACCCCTTCCACCGGCACCCGTCCCAGTCGCTTCATTGTCGGTGTCGTGCTGGGCTGCCTCCTCGGCGTCCTCGCCACCTATCTAGTAGTTGCTTCAGAAGCAGCCAAGGGCCCTATCGATCCGGCAACAGACTGGTGCGAGCTAGACATCATCTACGCAGTGGGCTACGTCAAGCTTTTAATCACGCTTATCAAATTCACTCCGCAGATTCTAGCCAACTACAGCAACCAGAGTACCAAGGGATGGAGCATCTGGCAGATTACGCTTGACTTTGTGGGCGGTGTATTGAGCACGGGGCAACAGTGCATCGACAGTTACTTGCAGCACGACTGGAGTGGCATCACAGGCAATCCAGTAAAGTTCGCCCTAGGGAATGTGAGCATGGTGTATGACTGCATCTTTTTTGCCCAGCACTACATTTTGTACAGAGGCTCTCATAGCAAGGATAGATCCGAGGAGGATGCGTTGTTGGGGGATGAGGAACAGCAAAGGAGGAGACGACTGGACTAATGATTGGAATGGAGTCATGCTGGGCTTGCTAGATTCTGAGGGATATCTACAAGTCCTGTTGTTTAGGAATAGAATCGTTTGCTACTTCCTTTCTAGCATTTCACGACTAGAAGTGACAATGCAGCAGCAAATGCGATGCAAGAAACTGCAGCTGCCATGATTCATAGTTGGTAAATAGATCGTTAGAGTCTGACATTGCGTAAACATAATGCCATGGATCTTTGAGATACGAAAGGCGGCCGCATAGTTTGAGAAATGCATATTATAATTCTACCCAATCTAGACTACAACACAATTAGTGTTGCGCAATAAATAGTTAAGGTTCGCCTGGTCTTCGCCATGAACTCTCATTGGATTAAGCTAACACCGCGTATTGCGCTAACGCGGCTGCAATAAATTCTTGTCGATGCGAGACGACTGGGTTGCAACACTTGGCCACCTAGGTCCGTATACTTGTCTAACATGTCAACGTCAAGATTATCCAAGTCCCGCGTCCAAGATATCACAGCTGTGCAAATATATATCGTCTAAAGACCTGTAATCAGTAGTTTTGTAAATTGCTTGCCAATATGTTTTGTATCCTTGTTCTCCCCTGCTCAGGGTTTGCCCTTGCACGGTGAGGCTATAATCTAATAATACCCGGGCCGACCTTACGTCTGCGAACTGGCAGCATAGGTTTTCTAATCAAGCTACAAGCTCCATGGAGATAAGTTAGTCCTAACATGACTCACACCCTAGGATGGACCATTCTTCAGCCCATCACGTCTAATCCCCCCCTATGCCGTACCTTCAAATCTTAAATCAACTACACACTCAGACTAACCTCGACGTATAACTATATCCAAGAACAAAATGTTAGCTTGCAAGTCTAAACCGCCACGAACTATATACTCTTCTCTCCCCATCTTCCATCTTCCACGGCCCAAAGACTAGGCGTCCAGACATAAATAAGAGCCCAGTCTCCCATCTATGGCTGAATCTCCAAAACAATCCTATCCTCCTTGTCATTACTTCTGCTCTGGTATCCAGGCTTGTCACTGTCCTTTAAACCAAAAACAATACTGTCCATCACTGAACTTATAAACAAAACACACACACAATACGCTGTCTACAAACTACATACAAAAACATGCTTCACACGCATAAAGCCACCCTGCCTACTAATTGGCATCGTCAAAACCACACACACCACCAAAGACAGCCGTCGACAGAAGCCAAGAAGCATACAAACACTATAACAAACACTCAAACACACAAGCAACCAGTCTACCCAGGCAGAAGCACACAACCGCACACAAACACACAAGAAACCACCTTGCCACGCGGAAACACAAGCATACAACTCATGGCAAGAATTCCAACTCTACGATCCATCAACATGACGGAATACAGAAGCACTCCTCGCTTCGAGCATGCCCCCATGGACATCTCGCGCTACACTCGCCACAGTGCCTTGCAGCCACCACGCATCAGAGCCCAGGCTCCCCAAGCATCGCAAGAGCCCCAGGCCCAACCGCAAGAAACAACAGAGCAGTCGGCCCCGGCCAAGGCCAGCAGCCCTGCTCCAAGCTACGAAGGCGTCTACGAAGGGCTCTCTGACCTCGTCCCCGACGTCCTCGCCATGGACAAGTTCCTCGGCTCAAACAGCACCACCACCACCACCACTCCTCAAGCGACCCCCAGCCCTGCTCCCTCCAACACGCAGCCCATCAAGCAGCAGCCAGAGCAAGAAGCCTACAGCACGCTGGGCCAACCCGCCGAGGAAGAAAACCACACGACGCAACAGCCCCCCGAGGAAGAAGCACGCTCCGTGGACCAATCCGACGAAGGAGGATACTACATGTTGTCCGCGGCAGCAGCCTCCCAACGACTGGCCATCCAAGAGGACAAACCAGACACGAGCGAACTCATCATCAGAGACGCGCTCAAGTAAGTATCACTCATCCCCCCCCTTTCTAAATCAGGGGCTAACATTGGCAGGTTTCACAACGACGACGTCTCCAAGGCCAACGCCAGAATCTACCACGGCAGAGCATGGGTTCCTCTCCGGCCCCTCCACAGCGAGACCTGCTACCACCTCATCCACAGCTGCCTTGGCGGCTGCGAGATTGAGGACTTTCCACGCAACGTCCACGAGCTGTGTCACTTGACCGGTACGTATATCCCTCGGCAGCCGTGGAAAGCACGGGATGCTAACTCTGCGTAGATGTCGAATTGAATGGCCTTTTGGGCCATCTCCGCGCCAATGTGTCCCTTGATTCCGCGAGGATCGTCAAGATCCAGTGGATTCTGAAGCGGTGGGTTAACCTTTAGAAAGGGGCAAGGAGGAGTACCACCTGCAAGAGATGGGATTATGAGGGCTTCAATTTGTTAGGGAGGTTTTTTCGGATATCCTTTGTACTTGTTTTGTTTTGATTTGATTGTGGTGGATTAGTTCTGACGTGGGAATATCAGCTGCAGGAAATGGATGGGATTACAAGGGCTTCAAGGTGTTGAGGGAGGTTATTTTGGATTTTCTCTGGATTTCTTTTGTTCTCATTTCTTCTGTTTTGGTTGGATTGCGATGGATTAATCAATTATGACGTGGGCCATGACCCGGGTGGTTGGCGGGAAAAGGGTCATGCAAAAGCCAGACATCATTCAGGGGCCAAGGGGCCAAGCTACACCGACCCCTCTGGAGACTTCACTTTTCTCCCCTCTTCAATCCATCTTCTTCTTTTGTTTCTGGCTCTGCTCTATTTCTCTGTTGAAATGTGACTTGCCAATGCCAGTTGTCATAGTCGCATCTGTTCGTAATGAGCTGCTTCATACACGCCTGGTACCATCTAGAGTCGGCAAGGCGGGTTACTCCTGAACGTGACATGGTCATGCAGTGTTTTACACGTCTATAGTACAGCCTATCTAGAGTGGTATTTTTACAAGACAAAATTCATTACTTTGCCACCTCGCACAGCAATCACCCTCTTGGCCTTGGCCAAATCATATTTTCCCACCCCGAATCTTTCCTTGCCTTGCTCAGTTTTGAGGATTTCCTCAACCACCCAGTCTTTCAGCGCGTCACCTTGCAGGTCAGTGGGTGGTGTCGGTATGTCGACGACACCTCGCATCTTTCCATTAATCTGCACGGCGCAGGATCGCTGTCGGGGCTGAAGCATGGCCGAGTCCAAGGTACCGTCCTGCGAGGGAAAGGTGGATGCATTAAAGATGAGCCCCTTGGAAGGATGCAACACGCTCCAGCATTCGTCAGCAAACGCAGGTGTGATAGGGGCCACGAGCCGACTAAGAACGCTGCATGCATGCTTCTTGATGACCTCATTAGCCTGCGAACCTGCCAGTGTATTGGTTAGGCGCATCAAATCCGACACAATAGTGTTGAGAGAATAGACCTCGTCGTATGACTGGGTGACAGAGGCAATGGTGTGCTGCACCTCTCGCCACAAGGCTGTGTCTGCGTCCCACTGTGTCAGTTCCTCAGAGCTCATGGAGCCAACGCTACCAAACTTTCCCTCCAACAGGGCCTTGGCAGGTCTCGATTCATCAGCTGCCGCGACGGCCACCACCTGGTCATGCAAACGTTGCAACCAGCGAGTGACCCCAGAGATCTTGGCTTCATCCCAGTTCAAAATATATCCCACGGGCGCTTGGAAGATGATGTGGGCTCTCGTCGCATCTGCTCCATACTTGGCAATGCATTCGCTAGGATCAACACCATTGTGCTTTGATTTGGACATTTTCTCGAATGCCACCTTGGCCGGAACACCGGTTGCGATGATTTTGGGTGAGGATGGGTCCGACAAGTCCACTTCGTCGGGCTTCAGGAAGACGCCATTTTCAGGGTCAATAAACGTTCTTCCATGTACCATGCCCTGCGTAATCAGTCGCTTGAATGGCTCTGCTGAGGACGCTGTCTCGTCGGTATATTCTGGCATCAATGACGTCGACGCCAAGAACTTGTAAACGAATCTCGCGTACAACAAATGGAGAATCGCGTGCTCAATGCCTCCTATATAAGTATCCACGGGCAGGATTTTGCTGGCTTCGGGTGAAAAGAGCTGTTGGGTGTTGTGAGGGTCGATGAACCTAGCGAAATACCAACTCGAGTCCACAAACGTGTCCATGGTGTCGGTGTCTCGGCAAGCTGGTCCTTTGCACTTGGGGCAAGATGTATTGACAAAGTCGGGTGACGATTCCAGCGCATTTCCAGTCTTGCCCTTCGCCCAATGTTTTTCAACATTAGGTAGTTTAACGGGCAAATCCTCATCGGGGACCGGGACAGCACCGCAAGAAGCACAATGAATAATGGGAATAGGAGTCCCCCAGTATCTTTGCCGACTAATGAGCCAGTCCCGCAAGCGCCACTTCTCGACCGATTTCGCGAGATTAGCAGCCTCGAGCATACGGACCATAATCTGTCCAGCCTCCACTGAGCGCTTCCCCTTAAAAGCGCCACTGTGATGCGTCATGACACCATGCTCGAGGTAAGGCTCACTCATCGGTAGAGTCGTAGTGCTTTCGTCTTCTGATGCTGTGAGAACAATACGCACTGGTTGGTCCTCTTGGTGTGTTTTCCAGAAGGAATGGTCGCGCAGGTCGTGGCCAGGAACACCCATAACGGCGCCTTCACCATAATCTCCAAGTACATATGGGGCAACATAGATGGGCAGAGAAGCCTTGGTGGCGTCGGGGGTCTCGTCGTGATAAGCAAGAGGGTTGATGGCTCGCAGATGCGGCAAAAGGTAGCCAACTTTGGAGTCAGGGGGGAGCCCGGGTAGAGTGTCCAAGAAGGCTTGCAGCTCAGCGTCCCTCTTTGCCAACTTGGCGACAACCGGATGAGAAGCTGCAAGGGCAACGTACTGAACCCCAAAAAGTGTGTCTGGTCGAGTGGTGAAGACCTCTATGGCGTTGCCAACGTTGACACCCCCCACGGCCATGATCGGGAACTTGACCAAGGCGCCAGTTGACTTACCTAACCAATTCTTCTGCTGCGAGATGACGCGGTCAGGCCAAGCATTGTTCTTGGCGAGTTCATCTAGATCTCGCAATAGAGCCTCGCGATACTCAGAAGTGCGAAAGAACCATTGCTTTAGCTTGCGTTTTTCCACCTTGGCTCCGGACCTCCAAGAGCATCCATTTGCGTCGACTTGCTCGTTCGCCAGCACAGTCTTGTCCACGGGATCGTAGTTGACTTCGGCCTCGGCCTGGTACGCGAGTCCCCGTTCGTGCAGCATTAGGAAAAGCTTCTGTGTGTGTTTGTAGAATTCGGGGTCGCAAGCCGTCAATTCCTATACGACATAGTTAACGCTGGGGAATTTCTGGTATAAGATAGTCATCGATGCTTACGCGACTCCAGTCCCAGCTACCATTCATGAAGCCAAGCTGCTCCTTCATCTTCTTGATATTGCGCCGCGTCCACACCCCAGGATCTATTCCACGTTCGAGTGCCGCATTTTCAGCGGGCAGGCCAAAGGCGTCCCAGCCCATCGGCAGGAGAACATCATCTCCTTTTAATCTGTGATACCTGGCGACGGTGTCGGCAATGCTGTACACTCGCAGGTGGCCCAGATGCAGGCTGCCCGAAGGGTATGGGAACATTGGTAAGACATAGTTGGTCTTGCGGTCGCCGGTCCTTGGACTGTTTGGTTGTTTGGCGCCGGCTTGATCGGCTTCGCTCCATATTTTCCTCCATTTGCTGTCTAACGAGGTGAGGTTGACGGCGTACCACCTCCGAAGCGAAGCTGCTGCTGGTGCGACTGGCAACTGTATTAAACTTGGTCTGGATATACCGGGTGGCCATCGCGAGGCTACCCTGAGAGCCGGGCAGGCTCCCTTGCAGCCTATCTGCTTTGCGTAGACTAGCTGCATGAGGATGATTGCATCATGAAGGTTGTGGCGATAAAGGGGACGCGCGCGGCGAGCAAGCCAAGTTATTGTAGCTTCCGGTGGTGGTCAAAAGTTTGAACGCGTGACAGCATCTCCCAATGCGATGTCCGGAGTGGCAGGAGTGGCAGGACCCTGCAGGCGCCCCTGCCGTTTTGAGGCGTGGTGCGTCATTCGGCTGTGGGTAGCGACTGCCGCACCCCGTACGGAGCACAGCCTTGGGAGCTGTGGCACCTGGCATGGCACCTTTTGTGCAGATAAAACATCAATGGAACACAGCTCTGGAACTGAAGGACCGATCCGCGCCTTCAAGCCTTGTCTGAGGATGGCACAATGTGCAACATCAAGAGCTGCAATCAAGACCAGACGTCATCTAATTACTTGCTTCTGCCGTCACACATCGTCATGATTGATGCGATATGATAACATCGACGCAAGTGAGCGAGGGGGCTTATCCTGCCCAGCACTGAGGCACCATGAGCAAATGCTACTTGCCCGCCCGCATCTTCCGTTGCTTACATAGATGCTAATAAATTCCAATGCACCCTCTCCTCGGTTGCTCCTGCCTTGCTGCTCCGGAGCCAGAGCTGTCATTGCACATACCGACAGGCCCCCACCGTCCTTGTCAGTTCGTCAATCAACGCCTCCTCCTGGGACGTGGGAAAAATCTCCTCCGTTCTCGTTCGTCGGAACCAGTGGGGTTTCGCCCGCCTCGAGGACATTGAGCACATCAACTGGTCCATTGCCACCAGGCCTTCTGTGCCTTTTGACGATGGGCATTTGTGGCTCATCTTCGGCTTTGGGCTGAGCTGTGGGAGTCTTGGACTCGAACTCCTCATCTTCAGCTGAATTCTTTGCGTCGTGGGTCATCAGCTTCAGAGGCTCTCACCTGTTGCTTGTGTGCCATCATTGTTCCTTCAACTCACTCCGCAAAACGGCGCCTGAGCTCCTGCTCCATCGTCGTGTGGCGTTGGCATCCCAACCCTTCCCTCCTCCATTTGGCTGCGACACACTCGGACACAGCAAGATTCGGCACATCACCGCCGAGCTATCTTCGTCACGGCATCTTGCATTGTGGCCGCTCCGGCTCAAATTCGACTGAGCGAATCCGGCTGCGGAGTCTTCAGTGAACTGTTTTTCGAGGTCGCCCTCAGTTGTTCATCGCCTCCTACACTGTCGCCATGGACAAAATCACAGACAAGGTCGCCGCTCTGCCGGCCGATAGAGAGTACTTTTCTCTCGAATTCTTCCCTCCCAAGACCGCCATGGGCTTCTCCAACCTTCGCCATCGACTACAGCGTATGGAACAGGCTCTGAAACCTCTTTTTGTCAATGTTACTTGGGGAGCTGGAGGATCAACCGCGACCAAGTCCCTTGAACTCGCCGAGCTCTGCCAGCGGGAGCTTGGCTTAACAACATGTCTTCACTTGACTTGCACCAACATGAGTAAGCGTCTTGTCGACAAGGCCCTTGAAGACGCCAAAGCCCTCGGTATCCGTAATATCCTCGCTCTCCGAGGAGACCCTCCGCGAAAGGAAGAATACGGCGATGCAGAAGATTCAGAGGATGATGGACAGGAAGATTTCACATGGGCCATCGACCTTGTGAAATATATTCGCAGGAAATATGGGGATTACTTTTGTATTGGAGTGGCAGCATACCCCGAAGGCCACTCTGACGAGAGTCATCCTCAGGAGCAAAGTTTGGAACATGATTTGCCGTACCTGGTGGACAAGGTGCAAGCCGGTGCCGACTTTATCATGACCCAGCTCTTCTTCGACATCAGTGCCTATGACCATTTCGAAAAGACCCTCCGAGAACACCCTAGTGGCGTTTTCAAGACTATCCCCATCCTTCCTGGCCTGATGCCAATTCAGAGCTATCAGATGATCAAGAGGACAACCAAGCTCAGCCACGCCAAGATGCCGCCCGCTATCATGGATCGTCTCGATGCTGTCAGGGGCGATGACGAAAAGGTCAAGCTAGTTGGTGTGGATATTGTCAGTGAACTCATTGACCAAATTAGAAGCATCAAGAGCCGGACACCAGGCCGTAGAGGCTTTCACTTTTACACCTTGAACCTGGAAAAGGCTGTTTCATTTATTGTCGAGAGAACAGGTCTCATTCACCGTGGATCGGAGAATGAGGAAGCGCTCATTGACGATGGTACTCTTGCGCCTCCGGCAATACAGGTTAACGGCACCCGAGCCTCAACTCACTCCAGGACATCCAGGAGGCACTCCTCTGTTGGGTCTGACCCCTATAACCGAGTCATTGTAGCTGGTCAGCCACCAACACACCCTGAATGGGAGGCAACCGGACAAGAGGCGGGTGTGCCGGCTGAAAGCATCAACTCGCGCGCAAACACGCTTGCCATTTCCGAAGGTGAAGGTGTCCTGGGCAGAGAAGCCACGTGGGACGATTTCCCAAACGGTCGGTTTGGCGACTCGAGATCGCCGGCGTATGGTGAAATCGACGGCTACGGCGTAAGCCTGCACGTGTCGGTCAATCAGGCCGTGACGCTCTGGGGCTGCCCCACGAGCCGCCAGGATGTCAACAATGTCTTTGTCAGGCACATCAAGGGCGAGATACCGGCCATCCCATGGAGCGAAGAGGGGCTGTCCCCTGAATCGTCAACAATCCAGTCTCGCCTTGTAGAAATGAACAGCAAGGGTTGGCTGACGGTTGCGTCACAACCCGCCGTCAACGGCATCCCGTCGAGCGACAGGACATTCGGCTGGGGCCCAGTCAACGGCTTCGTGTTCCAGAAGGCCTTTGCTGAGTTCTTCTTACCATCAGCAGACTGGCACATGCTAGCAGAAAAATTGAAGGGATCCGACTACTTCGACAGCGTCTGTTTCTACGCGGCCAACGCCAAGGGCGACTTTGTCTCGTCCGATATCAGCGGCGGGGCGTCCACACGAACCGGCGCAGCGAGCACCAACGCCGTGACATGGGGCGTGTTCCCTGGAAAGGAGATTGTCACACCAACTATTATCGAGGAGGTGAGTTTCAAGGCGTGGAGCGAGGAGGCCTTTGGTCTGTGGGGAGAATGGGCCAAGGTATACGGACGGGGGTCGGAGAGTGAAAAGGTACTGAGCGGCATTCGATCTGATTACTGGCTGGTGAATATCATACACCACGACTTTATAGATGGGGAAGCATTGTGGAAGTTGCTACTCGGTTGATGGCGAAGTAGTGAATATATCAAAAAGTTGAGTGTACATTATGGGTATCGAGTGTATTGTAGCTCAAGCAAAGTGTTGTCTAATCCTCCGTCCGTTCGTCACGCAGTCAAAACGCTCCCCAATCCACGCCAGAAATCATCTCACCAGTCCATCCTGCGTCCCAAGTGTCAAAAAGGCTCTGCGCCCGTCTCGCCCTCTCGCTCCCCCCTCGCACATCGGCCACAATTCCCATCCACATGCATTCCCCCCAATCCCCCAAACTTTTCATTCAAATCTCCCCGTCGCCATACGCGTCTATAGCTTCCTCGAAACTGCCCAAATAAAGGTTCGCCCCAAAGGCAGTGGAAAAGACGGGATCGGTAGCGCGTTCGGTGAATGCGCCGGCGACAGAAGCAGTCGACGAGGTGGAAGCGGCGGCGGCGTCGCCGCCAAAAATAGTCTGGTACTGCGACTCGGGCTTGACGAGCACCACGTCCGAGTCCGAGTCGAGCGCGGAGCCAGCGGCGATGGTGGCGCTCGCCCGGACCGCAGCCTTGCGCGCCCCGTTCTTCTGGGCCGGGGCGCGCTTCGAGGCGCGCTTCGACGGCGACTCGTCCCTGTCGCTCCAGTCCTCCTCGTTGTCCGAGGGCTCGGGAGACGAGGGCTTGGGCTCGGCGCGCGGGCGCTTGCGGCTGCCCGGCGTGCGGGCCGCCTTGGTGGGCGTCGAGGTGCCCGGCGGCAGCGAGAGGCAGTTTGCGACGTCGCCCCCGGACGAGTGCGTCTGGCGCAGCTGGTCGGCGTCCTTTTTGATGCCGCGGAACTGGAACTGGATCCCGTCCGCCGTCGACTGGCCAAAGTACTTGGCTATATCTGCGCAACGGGTTAGCTCCTGGAGCTCTGGACTCGGGAGGGCTGACGAGAGCTGGAAAGAAGAGGGAGCAAGTGTGGAAGGGGCGTCAGGGGGGGGCGTACTCGTCTTGTCGACTGCGTCCTGGGCCGCGGGCATGTTATCCTCGACGGAGAGGTGCTTCATGTCGAAGCCCCGGGAGCGTCCTTCGCGGATAATCAAGGCCTGGGCTTTGAGCCGGCGGAAGCGGTGGTTGAGCGCGTGCTCGGTCATGTCTGAGCCGTAGCAGGCGACGATTTCTGGGGACGGTCAACTCCCCGTCCCACGGACACAGAAGCGCAAAAAGGAGGGAGCGGGTGTAGAGGGTGGAAAGAAGGGGTGGTGATGGAAACAAGAGGGCAGAAAAGGGGGGGGG